CATGCATAAAACTGTACAGTAGTCACTCTCGAACAGGAAGAACAGTTTCGATGACGGACACCAGGATCGATGCGTAATCTAATTTGTGTATACCGCAGGTACCGCAGCCATATATCGACGAGAGCATACAAATTCCAAGTGAGTGAAGGGAGGTATTATGTTTCGAGCCAGAATGCTCTGCATTTCTACACGTCCTATCCTAGTTGGAAACTCCTGGCGTAATATACACAGAAGCCGGTGGATGATCTTGAGTAATGACAGCTACCTATTTGGTGTTTGAAAAGTGCTTTGAATTTACCACTTCGCAATTTGCCAACCAGTCACTAACCTGGCACTAAGCTTCAGCTATGATGCGCCTGTACTCGGTCAGACTCCTAGTTGCTACTGCTCTTCTGGCAAACGTTGAACGGGCCGCGCCCTTTGATCTGACCATCGATGACTATCCGACTGTAGTCCGTTCCCTCGCTGACAACCAGAACGTTGTTACTCCTAAGAGGATACTGAGGCGTTTCGATGAGGCTGACGAAGAGAGACTCGTCGGGATTAGCAAAATGTCGGAGCTAACAACCCAGGTCAAGGACGGTGCGTCGAAACTCTTCGAAAAAGTGGTCAACATGAAGGCATTGGAGACTCAAGCGGCGAAGGCCATGAAACTTGGCCCTATTGATGACACCTTGACAAGTTCGAATCTCAAATATTTGGTCGACCAGGTCAAAGAGATGAACTCGAAGAGTAGGATAAAGAAGGTCTCAGTGATTGGAATACTCACCACCAAATACGGAGATGACGCTCTGGCGAAGGCGCTCTTGAAAGCCGAAAGGAATGCGGAATCCACGTCACTTTTTGCAAAAGAAATTCGAGAGTTGCGCGCGAAGCAACTAAAGATGTGGAAGAGTAGCAGTAAATCCGCTGACGATATTTTCAAGCAACTGAGATTTGGCGACGACATGTTCCCCATCAGTCAGAAGTTCGAGATTCTGGACGACTACATCAAATTCATCAAGCCTAAGGCATACGATCAAACCCTCCTACGCACCATAATTAAAGGGGTTAATGGTAACGAGAAGGTGGGGACGGTATTGTACGCCACAAGGACGGATCCTCGTACGGTCAAGAAGGTCAATGATTTCCAGCAATCTCTACTCAGAAAGTGGATGGGTGAAGGCTAAGTGCCTGCAAACGTATTTCAATGGCTGAAGCTATACGACGACGTGGATGACGCTTTTAGCGCCGATAACTTGAAAATGTTCACGAAGTACGTCGATGACTATAACGCGAAGAATCGCAACACCATAACGTCAGCGCTTGACATCTATTGAAACAGTTTTAATGGTCCTACTTTGGTGAAGAAGCTCGTATCGGCAACGGATGACCCTAACGCAAAAAGTATCGCGGAGAAATTATTGGGGTCTGTCGACAATGTGCTCACAACACTGAACATTAACAAGGATAAACTCAAAGCTATCTCTAGCGGGAAGTTGGACGCGTTGGAGCAGTTTATTAAGATGAAGGGCAGTGAAGACGATGTGATTGCGACGTTGACGAGTCTGTTTGGTGGACACAACAATCTTGCGAATATTTTGGATAAAGAAAAACGGATCGGAATGCTATCCCGCTGCAACAGAAACAATTTGCCGCGTTGGTAAAGAAAAATATCAACCCGGAGAACTTTATGTCCACTGTCTTCAAGACGAGTCCTCAGTGAGCTAAGAAGGAGCAAACAAAAATTGCGGAGAGATTTACGAAGTTCTATCAGAGTTTGGCAAGGGGTGATTGAGCGTAGCGATGGCACTCTGGTAAGTGAGCAAGTACCAAGGTTTACCATCTTACTAGTTCCTAGAAAGAATAACAAAGTACACGTAGTGAGTTGCACTACTGCGGATTCGTACTCAAGATGCAGATTACCGTCCCCATCGTCATATTTGCTACTCGGCATACCAGGAGACAATTCGGCAATGACGGCCACTTCACAAAATTAGCAAATACTCGAATCTCCATTACTACACTAGATGCCGGCGCGTGTCCGTGAATGGTGTTGATCAACGAGGATGATGGCGTTTCCAACTATTACTTCTAGACTAGAAATTTTAGTATTGCGTTTTACATACTGTTTGGCACTTCGATATTAGTTCAAACGACTTCTTATAAATCGTGCTCGAGTAAGATTTACTAGTAGTACTACATTGAGGATCATTAAGACACACAACGAACTGTTAGGCGCAGCACGTTCATTGTATTTAACGCGTTCACCTGGGGCTTAGACGATGGTTAAAAGAGGACGCGGAGAAGGCTGTTTTTTTTTTGCGTGATATGACAATTTTACCGCTTGGAATAAACGAAAAGTGGAAGGGAGAGGCAGATAAGGTTGACCTAGACGGCGCCTAGAGCCGTCAGATCGCAGCGGAGTCTCACGCTCGGCCTAACCGGCCTGTGGCACGCCCAATTGTGGGCACGTCGGCCGCGACTACAGGTACGTACGAACAAGCCCAGCTGTAATAGCCCGACGTGCTGCCCTGCAGCTCCTCGACACATACACGCGTGGGCGCTCGGCCAGAACGACGGACGAAGTCGTTCAACGACAGACGCTCTGCGATCGATACTTGACTCTGCAAGTTACTACTCCCGCTGAGTATC